GGTGGTGTAGGGGCTAAGGTATACTCGGCTGCTGACCCGCAGGTCGCGGGATCAAATCCCGGCGGCGACGGCTGCATTTGCAATGGAGGCGGAAATGTTGTAGGCCCATGCGCTCAGATTTGGTTGCACGTTATGGAACCCCAGGTGGTCAAATTTTTTTTAGTCCTCCACTACGGCGTATCTCATAATAATAGCGTCGTTTTAGGACGTAAAACACCATAAATAATATATCAATCATTAAAACGAGGTGGTTATTTTCTCCTCTTTTTCATACACATGATGCAACCTCCTCGCCCCTTAGTTCTTGAATGCATATGAACAATATCAGCACTAAGTGCTAGATTCGATCAGGATTTCGCACTTCTCCGTTGCACGCTGTTATCGCCGCTTGGGCAGTTGTAAACACAAAAAATAAAGATTGATGAGTTGATTGTGCACAATATTCATGCGATACAAGGAAAAATGGATGGGTGGCGGCATGGCAAAGTATTTCAGAAGACAAATCACATGTGATATTTCGCATATATAAACGAATCAAGAGCATGTACGCTGTAGACATCACCGACACTATACTGTCTACGTCGCAGTAGTGCGCCAAGAAGGACGAGAAATTTTATTAAAGAATAGTGTGCTTTTTGTATTTTGAGAGCCTGGTGAGAGGCCCATTAAGACCAAGCGTCAACTATACATCAGCGTATGTCTTCTTCGTTGTCCTGCTTAAATATTGTGATCACTGGCGGTGTGTCTTTTCCTATTTATTGCATTGTGTCATGCGTCATCTCTGCTCAATGCCCGAAACAAACGGAAAGAAGCTTTTTCTAAAGTATGTGTGGCTTCTTTTTCCTATAAAAGAGAGAATGGAAAACCCAGCGTGAACTAGCCGATAATTCCGATTTTATTGCAATGTTTCATAACGTGCATGAATTGGAGTACGGGGACGAGGAATTGTTATGATCTACAGGCCGTGACGCGGATATATTTTTAGGTAAAGCATTCACTCCCGCCCATCTCGTTGAGTCGTACTCTCGCTATTAAAACTAAAATTTTGTTCTACATTTGGGAAAATTAAATTATGTGCACGCAGTGTCCTTCAAAATGTGATGGTACACGAAGTTTGACTGACGTCTCTTGTTATTCTACCTTTTATTCTTCTTTTTTCTATAGTGGAGGAATCGATATTGACTAGGAAAAAAAGTCTCACTGAATTATGACATCGATTCTTGGCTGATCCCCCTTAGTGGGTACGAGCCATGATTGTGGATTCAACATCATCAGGTCCCAGAAAAGAGGATCAGGCGAGCAAAATCCCCATTGACGAAAAACTGTGTCTTCAATCGCATTGAGCAATGCATCGCAAACACATGTCGACTCAAAACACCCACACCGCGGTGGACAACGCTGGCCGAAGAAACCTAGGAGACCAGCGGAACCTCCAAACTGTTTCGAAGCTTCAACCAAGATCCGATGCAGCATCTGACGCTGATACCGAATCAGTAAGTGATGACTCTATGGAAGTCATGAATCTAACTAATGAGTCGGAAGGAAACATATGCGACAATCTGATTGTTGAAGAGCTGGGAGAACTTCAAAGAGAAAGCAGAAGCCCGACGCCCTCTTTTACTCCATCGAGGCCTCAGAGTTTCATCGCTGTGACCTCATACGTTGACAACTTCGACGAATCAATGGAGGAAGAGAAAATCTCGCTTGAAGTGGCACCCGTACCACTGGACGAAAGCGTAGCAGAGGCCGTTGAGTCGGACGGCGAACCCGCGCGAACGTGAAGACGATACGCTGAAAGCCGCACTTGGCGCATGCTCGTCTTGAGTGCAAGTCAACGCAGGAAGGACTGTGGTTTAAATCAGCCACAGGGTCTCCAAGTAGCTTTTCGCAGTTTCGGAAGTGAATGATTCTACGTGGTGTACTTTATATGTTGGTTATGTCACGCGTAATTGTGAAGCGAGTGCGTTTTCTAGCATGTAGGCAGCAGCTTGCAGCACTTCTTTTCTTGTGAGATGAATAAATAGATTAGTACTCAATCATTTGGTTTCGTTAGTTAAAATATTTACACCATATCGTGATTGTGATACTATTAAGAGTGGGCATGCTGCTGGGGCGTGTGAGATAAATTGTTTGTGTCGGAGGGGGCACCTTTTTGATTAGAACTGGTGGGCTGGGCAGGCATATTCGGTCGTGTGCAATTTTGTGTCCTATATGTCATGCAGAAAAAAAGTTCGGATCAGGGGGCGGAGGGGGGGGGGGAAGAGGGCTGAGACCCGGTTTGACTTTCTGGCTACGCGACTCGCATGCAGAGTGTACACCTCGAGCTTCTAATAATATCGCGAATACCTTGTAGTATCTGCCTTCAATTTCAGAACACCTGCTCGTAAAGTTTATTGTTTGAAAATTTCGAATGGTAGTACCACTTCATGTGCAATACACGCGACAAAAGGACACCTGAAATTCCCCTAATAGGAGATTATGTATTGCAGAACGCGATGCGGCAGTGAATGATCATGTTTTGAACGGGCGAAGCAGACTCGATAAACTTACTGGATGAAGTTGCGTTCTAGTCATTGCAATATATCCAAATGCTTATCAGCCAACCACGAATTGAAAAAAAGTAAGCTTGACTGTAACATTCAGCAATAATATATTGGTATGACAAATATTAGCGCAATGAATGTATTATTGAGCAATCATGCATTTACACCTCCCAAAAACTATATTTATACCTCCCAAAAAACTAATTTCCAAAACAGTGAAGACACATTCAGCTATTTTGCTCATGAGGTACCGTATTATAGGTGCATAATTTGGAGCACAAGATCGTGCTTCGAAAGAGCGACGTGATGGGAGAGGACTTCACCATGCCATCTTCGCTGCTTTATTGAGAAGCAAACGAGAGGCTGATGATGCATGCGTGCACATCATTGTGAAGTGTAGCGAAGTTTAAACAAGCAAGACACCAGCGCTCGCAAACCTTTGAACCAGGGACAACGTGTCAGAGGAGAAATTCACATATCGGCTGTGTTACGGAAATAATATGCTTATAAAAATGAACAAAGCCCACGTACAGTTGGAATTGATGATATACAAAGCACGAATGAGGAAGGTTGATTGATATGTGGGGTTTAACGTCCCAAAACCACCATACGAATATGAGAGACGCCGTAAAGAAGGGCTCTGGAAATTTCGACCACCTGGGCTTTTTTAAGGTGCAACCAAGTATGAGCACACGGGCCTACAACATTTCCGCCTCCATCGGAAATGCAGCCGCCGCAGCCGGGATTCGATCACGAGACCTGCGGGTCAGCAGCCGAGTACCTTAGCCACTAGACCACCGCGGTGGGGCTGAATGAAGAAGGTTGATATTTCACAATAAAATAAGCAAAACGTTACGAAGCGGACGTAAATTTTGCCGCACATTATTTCCATGTGATGGCTATCATGTTTAGACGCGTTATCTACCTTCGTCGTCTATTTACGTCACGTGATACCAAACTTGGTATATGCATGGAGCTAGCGAAACAGCCGCGAGTACGTTATGAGCGTAGCATTTATATGTTTTACATGACACGCATATCATATGATTATGATGTTTGGGCGCGTCATTTACCTCTGTCGTATATTCACGTCCCGTGTTGCCTAAATTGGTAAATGTGGAGAGAGCGAAACGGTCGTGAGCGTGCTATGAGCGTAGCATATGTATTGTAATGTCTTACATGTACATCACGATTATCATGTTTCGACGAGTTATTTGCCTTCGTCGTCCATTCACGTCACGCAATACGAAGTTTGGTATATGTGCAGCTAGCGAAAGGGCCGCGAGGACGCGAAGAGCGTAGCATGTACTCATGTTTTCATGAGATGCATATCATGATTATTATGTTTAGACATATGCGAGTGACCTTTGTCGTTCATTGACGTCACGTCATACCAAATTTGGTTATGTGTACGTAGTGAAACGGCCGCGAGCAGCTATGAGCGTATACCATGTAGCCGTGTCTTACATGACAGGCATGTCATGAACATCATGTTTGGACGCGCAATTTACCTTCGTAATTTTCCACGTCACATGATACCAAACTTGGTATATGTGCTTAGACAGCGAAACGGCAGCGAGCGCATCATGGGCGTGGTAATTGTCATGTTCTTACATGACACGCATATCATATGACTATGATGTTTGCACCAGACATATACCTTCTTCATTCATTGAGGTCACGTAATACCAAATTTTGTTTATGTGAAGCTAGCAAGACGGCCGCGAGCGCATCATGAGCGTGGCATAGCTATGTTTTTACATGACATGCATCTTATGATTATCATGTTTGCACCAATCCTTCGTCATCCATTCATGTCCAGTAATACCACATTTGCTATATGTGAAGCTAGCGAAAGGATCGCGAATGCTCCATGAGCATAGCGTGTAGTCATGACTTACATGACATGCATGTCATGATTTCCACGTTAGGGTGTCTCACTTATATATGTTTGTCATGCCATCATGTCATACCATACCAGTTTTTCAGTACACCATGTGAACGAATTCACTGCAAGAACAGCGAGACCATGAAATGAAAATCATGACATTAATGACATACATGTCATAGTTTCCATGTTATGACTAGTCACTTATGTTCATCATACAGTCATGTTATGCCACACCAATTTCAGTATTGATACCATAATCGAAACAGCCATGAGAGCAAAAATTGATGGGTGGCTAGATAGATAGATAGATAGATAGATAGACAGACAGACAGACAGACAGACAGACAGACAGACAGACAGACAGACAGACAGACAGACAGACAGACAGAGATAGATAGATAGATAGATAGATAGATAGATAGATAGATAGATAGATAGATAGATAGATAGATAGATAGATAGATAGATAGATAGATAGATAGATAGATAGATAGATAGATAGATGATATAGTCAAAGTCGCCAACACTTTCTAAGAAATGCTTCGCATTTGAAGAGGAAGCGCAAAGTACTTGTACAACCGTATTTTATTTGACTTTTCGTGGGCCTATGTACCTATACATTTTCCACATCTACACGCTTTGACGCTCGAGAAACAGCAAATGGTACAGCAGGTTGCAGACAGCATATGAAAAATGAATAATAATGTGACTTGGACAAAAAGGGAAATAAGAGGCATTGAAATAATAAACACTGATGTTTACTAACGCACACAAACTAGCATTATGCACGGCAGGTTGACCTTCGTACAGTTCATACAGGGCAGTATAACTGGTCCTTTGAGCCACTGTTCTAAAGAAGCAGAAACATTTATCGTTCAATGCGAGCGAGCACCAGTGAATGACTAGTAACCCCGAATGCAGACTAGCATGTTACCAATTGGTCAAGCACACTTTTATATTTAGACATCAAAGTAATAGAGTGTCACCTTCACTGTGTTCGTATACCTGCACATTTTACATACAAATAGTATCTCAATCATAGAATTACCCCATTTTTTTTTTCTTATTTTGAAAAATAGGTATTCGAAGCAGAATGCCTGAGAACAGAACACTTGTTGCAACAGCATAGCTTGTCTTTCTCATTTTAGTGCAATTTCTGCACTTGATATGCTTTTACAGCACACACAGTCATGGCAACTTAATATGTTGACCTAGAGCACCGACCTACGCACTGTACACAGCGAAATTGTGTAAACCGTTTCTCCCGTATTACTAAAATAATAACGGGGCCGTATTGCGAAGTTTGTATAGCGTACCAGCTCATGCAAGCTAGAGAAGTTTCGCAAGCCGGATGACTCCTTATTGTCTATACTGTACAGTTTTTTCAATTTTTGCAATGAATAATGTGCAGAATGAATAAGAGTCCAGTAGTGACTAGTAGAAGCACATAATGTCGATCAAATATGTCACGAGTCGACCGGTTGCCGTAGAGAAAAGATCGTACCCCACATAAATTACTGCACCGAGACTTCAATCGAAAATTTCTACATATGCTATGAACCACGATGGTTTCAAAAAATAATCTTAGAAAGAGATTTTTACCAAAAAATTTTCAATTTCACAAATACACCTAATAAATAAAAAATTAAAAAACAAAAACTATGCGTGGCACAAGGGATGATAACACATTTTACTATCACATTGGCTGTAAAACTGTTTTACCATGTGTGTGTTTTTATAAAAAATTCTTTTCTTATATGAGCATGTCTCTAACTGAAGTGAAGAACCCGATAACATATAAGCTAGCTTTAGTATACCAGCAATAATGAGAACTAACAGAGAATAAAGCCAAGGAAAGTAAACCGTCGGATGGGTTATGCGATGATTGCAAATGTGGTTCTTGTCGGCAAGTATTCCGTTCGGCAACTTTACTTTCTCGACAGCTACATCATATTTATTACAAACAACATCCTTTACTTCACTTGGCTTTATTGCGTATTAGTCCTCAATATTGTCGTGCCTAACAAACAGAAATGAGACCTTGAAGTTTTTTTTAACCAAGATCAATATAATGCAAGGCTTTTCGGCTTGGGTTTGTTGTACACGCGTGCATTCCTAAACACACACATGCATGCACACGCAATGTGAGGTGAATTGGTATAACAAAAAAAAAAATATGACCTAAGTCAGCTTTTGTGCAAAATGGGGCATTGGCTGGGTGGTTACTCCTCTAATTCCTTTTTTAAGCTACCACATGAAATTATGATCTGTAGAATATACACACCCAATACTGCTATTTTTCAGGTTAGTAGTTTATAGCCTAATACTGCTGTATCTGGATAACATTCTGACTTCGATTAAGGAAGTATTAGCACGGATGCATTTGGCTTCTTGAATAGTAGACGACTAGAAAATGAACCGAAACTTTGCGGAAAGTGATGCAGAAGGAGAAATCTGTAGCTATTTCCGGCTACCTGCAATAGTAGTTATGAGAAGCAAACATATGAGTTCCTGTATTGTTTTGTGGATGGCAGATGGAAGATGTTAGAGGTGAACAGGCTGGCTCAAAAGCAAAGTGAAAAAAGGCAATAATATTACAATTAGGAACATGCATGTGTAATGTAATACCAGAGGCACATATAGACTCTAAATGCAAAGCCGTGCATGTACAGCCAAAAATGGGGCTAAAAACAGCATTGTGCCAGTAAGTGTTGTACTAGACCTTTTACTACGTATAAGGTATGAGTTCCATGAATAACAACAAAAAAAGAATGTCTATTGTTGAGCTGAACAGGTGTGTGCATTCAAAAAGCACTCTTTGAACGCTGCGAAATAACTAAGTACAAGCAGTACAGTTACGTACGCATAACATGTAATCTGTATAAGAAAGCGTGATGCAAACTATACTTAATCATCAGGCTTATCGATCGTATGCTGCTGGTGGTAGCTGCATTTTAAGAAGTGATAATCATGCCACATTAAGTGCTAGACCAGAAAATGGCGTGATAGAGAATTGTTCCCAAATGAGAAATATAATTTTCCAGTAGCATGCTCTTTATAATGACGTTGCCCAGATATTTTCAACTGTGCCACTGTTCAAAAAATGAATTATGCTGGTGTTACATGGCATGCACAATGCTCATTTAAGTTATGCTCTTCCGATCACCTGATCACACTTTTATACCATGTTCTAAAAAGAGAAGTGTCTACTTACGCTGTGTTATTTTGGTTACAAGTTACACCCATGTAACCTATTTCGAAAATAGATGCCGATATGTGCATATGTTTTTTTTTTTTGGAAAATGAACTCGTAGCCGTTATGGCATCAACGCAGGCTGGTGTTTACTTGCCTTAATTTGAATGATAGAGGAAGAAAAAAAGACAAAGGGTCATGAGAGAAGCTTAAATTCTAATCACAAAAACATCCATGAGAGACATTTCGTAAGTGGATCTCATCACGCGATAGATAAGCCCTTTCTGGCTGCTGAGCCCACTGATAGTGTATGCCATAGAAGAAAAGCTGTGAGTGTGTCGAGGGCACAACAAAGAGGATAGTGCAAACTCAGTTTTTCTGTGGCCGTTGGCACAATATTCTAGGTAATTATAGACAACTTATGCAAAAAAAAAAAAATGCGTGTCCTATCTCATTCTTTGGCCCAGCTCCGCCTACTCGTGCTTGCGTGTACACTCAATGGCATCATTGAGCTACCCCTAACAAAACAAATACCTTGATAGGACTGGCAACAATAAAGGGCGTTATCCTAGCAATGAACGCCTGAATAGGCACTGAAGGACACGGTAGGGGGCGTCAGAGAAGGCTGCCTTGCCGAAGCTGACTGCCTAATGTCCATCCCTGTCCTTTTCGTTCTTCCGCTTCTTTGATCATTGGATTATGACCAGAGAAGTTGGAACTGCCAAGCAACATCTCTCCATTGCGAATGCCCTTAATTACCGTTCAAGTAAATTGCCGCTGGCACTTTGTTTTAGGGAACTAAAATGTCATGTTTTTTTGGGACGCTTCTGCTGCGATACAACGATTTTCATGGAATAGACAGTGCAGATGTTTGCGTTCAGTAGCTTGCAGGTTGCGCGCTGCCTGCCCAGTCATGGCGTTGATGGCCACAACTTTATCCTTGCATAAGCGTGGGCGAACACCACACCATAGCTTTCTGTTGCCACTCAATGCAGTCATAACTACCACTGTAAAAACGTTTCATTCATATAGTAATATTTTTGAAACACTCGTGATAAAGAAAAGCAAAGCATGAAACTATTAGTTTTGCAGCATTATTCAAAATCCAATTATCCACAATCATATATTTGCACGGTCATACATACACATATACATATGTTTATTAGAGATCCACAAGAGCACCACTATGGAACTATAAGGAAATTAGCGTAAAATGTCACATACTATAGGAAGATAACGAACGCCACACCTCGCAGCCTGTACATGTGATTACTCAAACATAGATTTAAAAGTATCTACAGAAGTGAATTATCCTCTCGTAACTTGAAAAGAATGAATTCTCGACGTGAATGTGATGATTTATCTACAAAATTATTATGTGTCAATGACAGGCTAACACAAGCATGCAGATCCTACAGAAAACAATGATCCGCCTAAATTGTTAGCTCTTGCGAATACTACCATATCTACAAGACTAGCGACAATGTTTCGTGACTGAGGTTATCTATCTTGTAACGATTAATTTGGTTGTATGAATGCCCAACAATAGCTTCCTAGTGTACCCTTTCTGTCGATGGCATAAAATGCGTAATGTTTAAGATATAAACTTCCTGCAACTTTTGCACAGGTGCCACAGCGAATGTGTACATGCAACATGATATGCCATGAAAAGGCTTCATCTATCGAACATTCATCTGAACACACCACAGAAAAAACAGCTGGTGAAAGTAACCATTTTAAAAACTGTGATAGAATACTTTACAATACATTATAGTCGACACCCAAGCCATTATTTGAGGGAATGTGTATACTATATCTTCGTGCCATGCCACGATGTAAATAGTGACAAATGACAATAAAGGGTTTAAGCAATTACACAATACTCGAAGGTTGACATAATTGATTACTGATCCAGATTTCAGGCATTTTGGGCTGTTGACCTGTCACTTGTAACATGTGCTGCACATGATCGGCATCCGATCACGTTCACCAGCGTTAATTCTGATATTTAAATACTTTCTTAGGAAATGCTTGCACCCTTCTTAGTGAGTGTTCCTAAACCGATCTCAGGTGTTTTGTCATGGGCAGCGAGGCCGAATCAAAGCTGATAAAGGTGGCTGAATTTCTAACCGTGGCATGGTACTCAAACGCTGCGACGACTAGACTGTTATTACGCAGCTGTGCTTGGCTTGACGGCACTTGCTTTTGCGCCCTGGCCTTGCACGGGAGACGGTGGAGGTGCGCTGCGTGCCGCCTTCGGTAGTGTCAAATGTATTGGCGCATGGTGGTGTGTTCGCTGGTGGCAGGTGTGAAGCACCGCGCCACACACCCCCTCCTCGTGTATCTCGTGTCGGATGGCGGACCTATCGATGGAGTTGTATTCTTTGGCCGAACGCGGCTTGAGGCCGCATGACACAGGGCATTGTCTACCGGCCGCGATGTCTTCGCATCGAAGATACTCGGAGCCACTGCCGTTGCTGCCGCTGCTGCAGAGTGACAGCGTCTCGATGTAGTCGCTGTCCGAAGAAGTGGTGCTGCTTTCAGAAGACCCTTTCAGGGCAGCCGTGTATCGCTCACCAGGCAGTCCAAATGTCCCTTGTTGTGGGCATCGTGTGAACGCTGCACCAAACAAGAGAAAGAGTGAGAAACAACAGAAGAAAAAAAAGTTGAGCAAAGGCTGGCTTTCCCAAGTATGCCAAAGATAGCAGCAGTAAATTAAATGCAAACTTTAACTCTGTGGTTTTCTTCTAAATATACAGCACTAAAAAGATATATGTTGTCTGTAGTACTAGCATAAATAACTGCCTTGCTGCAAGTTACAGAAGCCAGCTTTGCGTGCGTGTGTTATTAGTCATACCACGCTTTGTCGATTGTTTGTGAAAGTTGCGAGATGGTTAGGATTATTTTGGCCAAATAAAACATGCCCCACATGGAAATACTACACAAAGTACACTTAAGCCTGGACATAACGAACTTGAATGTAGCGAAATATCGGTTATAACGAAGAAAACTAAGAAATGCTTTGTAATAGATAGAGGTTTTCTGATATAACGTACCTATTTTGATATAACATGCAATTTTTTATAATGAGCTTTGAGTGTATCTCGATACCAGCATTTCGTACACTCAATTCTTAACAATATTGAGTAAGAGTCAACAATTCAGCATATCAGTACCCCATAATAGCTAGAAGCGGTGACATCGGCAAAATGGGTCAAACTGCCCAAACCACTCTCTGGTGGGAACGTAGGTTGCTGTAAGCTGTTCACTTCAGGAGTGGACATGCCCTGTCTTTGTAATCTGTTAAGTTCTCATTGTTCACAGACGAAACCTTGCAGGTCTTGATAAGCACTCTTTATTACTGCATTGGTACTATTTGCATCTCCATTCCATGACACATGCGCAGATGAAGTAACACAAGAATAGAAATGAAATTGTATACAAAAAGTTGATGTATTTAAGTCATGAATGTATTTCATTTGAAATCAGTCTTTCATAAACAATAATGCACAGATGATCATGATAGAGTATGTCTCCTCCTGAAGTGAAGAGTGGAGCAGACGACACTTGCAGCACATTGCTCTATGTGTGCACATGTGTTGTCACTCAGCTCCTGTATTCTCACCACGTTATAAGGTGCATGCGCGTCATGTGAACTAGTTATCAGGAAAACGGCCTGTCCGATTGACGCTAGCATGCTCTGAGCTCATGCAAAATAATGAGAATATATTTACTCTTATTAGACAGAAATTTAAAAAAAAAAAAAAACATTAGTAGTTTTATTGCTCCTAAATTTGCATTCATTTTTCACACAGCAACAAAATCAGTTCCTTACCTTCTTGAATAAACCTTTTGCTTTCATCACAGCGACGGTGGCTCGCAGTGATCCCTTCGTCGAGGTTTCTTGGAAGAGATGGGTGTGAGCTTAAATGACATTCATGCGTTACGAGCTCGCACACAGTTTCTGAGCTTTCGGGCAAGCTTGTCGACACGCCGGAATCTGACGGGCTTGAAATGGTGTCCTGTTGCTGCGGTTTGCAAGGCACGCTTGAGGAGCGCTTGATGCTGGTACCGTTTGTTGGGGCATCGCACGAGTCGGCATTACCGGCGTCCATTGAGATGTCTTCTTCCGAAAATCTGAAGTCACCTTTCAGCTTGAGGCAGTCAGCTGATCTGTGAAAAGGAATCCGGTACAAATTCTCCATAGAACGGTTGTTCGGAGTGGAAGGCACTGAAGACGGTGGTGTAACATCGACCAAGTTCTGAGACCTAGCTCGGAAAGGAAGTTTATTGAATGTTGGTCGTCGTTCCCTGCCCATAGGCACGGCCTCTTCTGCCTCCAACATTTCTTCCATTTCCTGGCGCCCATCGGCCGAACTCGACCGTTTCTTTGTAAGAACTTTTCTTTTGGCCTCAGCCAGTAGTGATGGTTTGTCTGGTGTCTCAGTCGAGCGCTGCCTACTACTTGCCAGGCTGCACTTGGTACTGTTTTTCCAACTTGTCTCAGCCTCAGAAGTCACGTCTTCTGAAAACTCTTCTTCACAGGGCAGCAAATATGGCATGAATGGTCGCAGAGGAAGGGGAGTTCTTTTTGTCTCCGAGCTTGTGAAATTGCTACCTCCACGTTCGTTGTCGCACTTGCAAGGCTCGATAGGGCGCATGGCGATGTAGTTGCTATCGCAAACGGCGCTCACTTGCTCTGATGAACCACGGAAAGACATCATCTCGTAACTTTCACCGATGGTGTTTGACGGAGGTGAAGCGCGTGGGCCTGTCTTCTTTAAGGTAGCAGATTTTTCAGGGCTCTTGAACTGACTTAAATTTACCGAAGGAGAACCTGGGATCATCGTTTTATTTTCGGTAGTGCTTTTCACGTCCTTGTTGGAATCGCACTGTTCCGACACAGAGGAGAGTGCGCAAGTATTTTGGTAGAGCGGCAAAGACTCTATAAAATGACAGTTCACATAATCAGAGCAGTGATCGAATTTCTTACTGTCAGGCATGGTACCGAGTATCCTGTTTCTTTTTCCTGGTTCCCTACATATAGTAGATGGTGCGCAGTTCATTGGGCACTGTAGTGTAGCAGCCTGGCTTTCTTCGGAAGGTGCTCTTTGGAAGCATGGAACAAGATTTCCAGCCCAAAATGTTACTTGGTTGCACGTGCAGGTAGCTCGAACATGGCTGCATCGAAGTTCTTGGCACATAGAAAGAGGGTCAGGCATGAGGCTGTTGCCACAGGAACAAGCTAATGGAAGCCGAGCAGCCCTTGTTCCTTGAGATGGCTCTTGTTGTGATACGTGCTCCTAGGCATGCAAAAGAAAACAGAGTTTTGGTGAGTGTCGGTACATCATGGCAAACCACAAATAAACGCAGATGGAGGACAGCATGCACGGCAAAAACGAGAAGTAAGAAAAAGGAAAGAAATCATGAGAATAATTTTTGTAGTAATGAAGAAAAGAGTGGCATGGTGGTGTTTGAGGGCAAGCCCACTTGTGTGCTCTTGTTCACATTAAAGCGATAGTCAGTACATTGCACATCTGCCATAAAGAGCCCAACTACGGAACCAATTCTCATCGATTCTGAGCCCTCTCAATAATGAGAGTGGCTCTTAGTCAGTCGGAGCATCACAGCATGAAATACCTGTGTGCACTATAAGGGTGTGGTCATCGGTGTATGTGATCCAAACTATTTTAGCAGGAAATGCATGGGACGGTGCACTTTTATGGCCAAACTGCTCAAGTAGCTCACACAGCACTTCCTGCAAACCCTGAAGCAAGGTATGTAGTAGGAAATACATTGTTGATGACAATGTTAAATGAAAATTGTCTCGCAACCCACTCGAGTTGCTTTATATGGCTCTCAAAATTACCATGGAGGCCATATACAGCAACTACATAGCTTACGTTCCTCAAACAACATTTTAAGGATGCGTCAAAGTATAACATAGCATAGACGCATATGGCAGAACCGTGACATACGACTTGATGTTCTGTATTTCATATACAACACCCGGGGCTCTGCATGCTGTGAAAACATGAGCAGAGGTTTTATTTAAAGTCAAATTACGTTTAAACTGATAAGACAAGACGTGACTCCTGTATTAGTGGAGGAGATGACACGAAATGATAAATTCGACAACATGACAATGTTAAATTTCATCATGTCACTCCCGCAACAGAAGCTTGCAGAATTGGCAGATCGTGCACGGTGCTTCTGTAATAGATTAAGAAAAAAATTGCTATTTTGCCACAAGCGTGAAGCAAATAACGTGATAACAACAAATAGGAATGTTATACGATGAAAAGTTAGCAGCTGCCTCTTCAGGATACAATGTCCCGTATCTCTGCGAAACACCAGTGTATGGTAAATGGCAACTCTAGGGAGTGAAACGGTTTTCATGCTGTTTATCATCTTGAAGAGAAGTAGGCGATAGGTAGGCGGTGGGTATATCACGTACTAGAGTACACCAGCCATCTACTGATGTCTTTTTAGGCGCTCTCCAATGTTTGCGATCGCGACCTCACCATTTTGATCAAAGTTTGCAGGTTGCTCAAGCAACAAGTACAGCTCCCTCCCTCCTCCTCCCCGTGGGCATCCCTTCATGGTCTTTGACCTGACGAAAAATGGTTGGGTTGTATTCTCTACTTGATGATACATCGAAGGCAGGCCTCGCATGCGGGCCGATATTATTGCATGCATCTTTCGTGCAACGTAGATGGCCGCCTTGTTTAAATTCTGCTTCAGATATGTTCGTCGCGAACACAAGCGCACTTTCACTCGCGGATAAAACCTACGATGTGCAAAACAATCTTATCGATGTGGACTTTACATGGATTATGAGGATGACAAAAAAAAATAGCCCATAAAATTTGAGCGAACAGGTGTAGAGCTCGATGGGCTCTGCATATCTTGCATAGTGTTAGTACACGCCCCCCCCCCCCCCTCCCGTCACCTCGCACCCGAGGCTTGTGGTCTGGTACGGCTGTTTGGTTGGTGTGTCATCATTAATGGCAGCCAAAGATTGCGCTATTGCCTTTATAAGCTCCTTTCACGGTCACCTCAAACTACCACGTCAAGGACCCGACAACAGCCTGTCCACAAATACGACTAGACATTGCCTCAAGGTATAAAGGCAAAAACATACACTCCGTCTACCCTTTCAATGCTTTTACCACGGATGCATTGGATCAATAGCGTATAAACACGTGTTGCCGTCTCCTGCTACAATGATTGATGCAGTCATTTGTAGGACTCAAACTTTTTTTTATTATCAGTCGCATTCATATTTTTACACAAGTAGCATCTTAGTAGGAGTTCCGACTCCTCTTTCATAGATATCTAAAAAAAATTGTAATGCTAGGAGAAGAGATATGCATAATACGTGCTCTAGGTAATAATAACAAACTGCGCCCATTTTAGTGACACTTGTGCTAAAATCCACTGTAAAATACCTTATATTTTTTGGGGACGTCGTAGTGCATCGTGGCTTCCATGCTTGTGTCACTCATAGGTAGGTCGGGAGTTATGTCGACAGTACTTTTGGATTGTTCCTGAAATGTACAGATGAGTGAGAGTCAACCATTTCAAGAAAAAATGCTCTGCATAGGTGCAACAGCTACACTAGGTCATGTGTGGATAAGGACTGAATAAGCTTGCATAGATAAATAACAAATGACAATTTCATCATGGAAGTTCATATCTTTCATGTTATATATGCTTATGCATCTGCGTGCTGACTCAACTTTCATTAAAATCCTCAATCTAGCTATTTCTCTAATACACCTCGTTTATTATATAACTCGGAATACCGTAATAAAGGAATTTTCAAGACCTTTTTGTGTGGTGTTTATGGGCAATGTATTAGTTCAAACAATTCGAGACATCAGTCTACAGGCAGAAATATTTGAGACTGAGTTTTTCAACCACTAATTATTCCTTGGTTATCTGCTGCTTAGCTCCGCCAAGAGCACATAATAAATTTCTTGATTTAATCACAGATGACAGCATGGATTTCAGCCGTATCATTTTGGTAGGTATTCGGAGCTTACGCAGGATGGGAGAATTTGTTATAACAAGTTATAAAGTCCTTCAACCTTCACTCTGTTAGTGTGAATTATTGAGATTTTGCATCCTACCTGAAGTTCACTGCTTATGAGGGCAGAATTCAGCTACATTTGTCGCAAGCTTTCTCTTTCAATCTGGCTTCCGATTTTCTTCTACACGTTAACTTATTTTTAAACTCCAGTTTCTTGTTGAAATGAAACAATCAGGTCAATACTTTGCAGTGAACTGGGTACTTTTTTGAAGAACTAAGCAAAGGTGTGAGAGGGATGAATAACAAAGAGTGATGAGACTGAGTTAGCTCTGTTTTCTCTCATTTTTGTGAAGTTTTGTAAAGTTTCTGTGAGGTTTTTGTTTGTGAAGTTTTGGAATTAAGGATAATAAAAGTTAACAAAATTGTTCCTGCCTCACCGAGAAATTTTTTGAGGAAATACTTTTTTACCTTTAACTATGTACACTGTGTTGTATTCCTAATGCCTTCACAGGGGCCCGGAAACAATTTTTTAAGTAACCATAGCATGGGTTCACTAAGAGAGATTATTGCTTCATTAATTCAATGCCGCAAATATTTTAAGAATCTGTTCAGTACGAGGCGAGTTACAAAAATTTGGTGCACGCTGCAATCGCATTCTGTATTCTCTTCTCCCGACGAAAGCGCTGGAAGCTAAGCAGGGGGGGGGGGGGGAGGTATAGCATGGGCAAATAAAATATGTCACCAGGATTGCCACTGGTGGCTTCTTTTTGCCAAATTGGCTAATTTCAGAGCCCTGTGGCGACCTGAACTCATGATTGGCGACATGGTGATTCTCTGACAATTTTCGGTTAGGTCTCGACTGAGTTAAGTATTCTATTTTCAGCGTCTTCAAAACAAATTGGTGGTAGCATTGTTTCAATTTTTTGTAGTTTTGACCGACCAGTAGGAGGTCCACTTTATGTGCAATTCAGTTTGTGTGTCCTGCTTTTCGAGTGTATTTCCTCATATTCCCAAGATCCCTGAAGCACTGGGGCACTGGTGCATCCACCAGCAACCTCCAAGCATTATTTAGGTCAGCGGACTTCTCGCATGCCGCGAGGTGGTGGTGAGTACCAAGCTCTTCAGAGGCTTCAAGAGCTTTAGGCTTTTTTAAAGTTTGGCTTCCGAAGTGGCTAGGTGACGGTTAGGCCCCGTGTTCCGACCACGGCTGCAACTATTCTAGATAGATTGTCGACTTCTTTCCGGCTGTGGTAACGCCTAATTTTTTATCTAGAATTTCAATTTTCTATTAACATTTTTTCAGGGCCGGCCAAGAAGTCGGCTTTTTAGACAGCCTTCAGAAACTGCACTGAGGCGAATTTTTAGCGTAAGCATGACCACACAGAAAATGTGTTGCGTGCACTTCGACGGTTATTCCCGACATTCAAATTTATTACCTTTGTTTTGTAATTAAGTTGTTCGGTTATCAAACACATTAATACACTCAATAATTTCTCGTAATTTCTAAAAAGACTACGCACACAATCCCACTCTTGCTGCATCGACTGCTTCATCATGAGTGCCCTTTCTGCGTGCTATCATGGTGAAGCGGATGATGCAACTGGCATCAAAGAACGTTATTATAATTAGGGGTGACGGGTAGTATTGTTGTCCACGGAGCTGTACATAATTAGCCATCTTTATTACTAGGCACACCACACATATGTATAGTGGCTGCTTTCTTGGCAAAATATGAAGAAAGATGGGAAATTTTGGCAACTTTTCGCTCGTCATTTGGCAAAATTCACTCAAAAGTCAGTGGCAACCCTGTACGTCATACGCCCCTTGTGTTCTTGAGCACTTTTTTCCTTTTTTTTCTTTCGATTACGCGACTTTTTGAGTGCGATCGCGCGCGCGCGTGGACAAGTCGCGGCCTTACACGGCGATCATTCTAACGACCGAACGCGCCATATTCAAATCAGCCAATGGCTGATAGATGGCTTTCTACGAGTGATTTTTGGGCGTATTCCGCCATTTGTCGAGAGAAGAAAGTAATTTTTAGCAGACTTTGATAATTTATTGTGTATTTTATTCTGCGTGCAGTCCTATAATATTTAGCTGCTCTCAGGAGCATCTGCTACAGATCGGCGGTGTTTTCCGACTATGCCCAAAAAATGTTGCAGGGCCCCTTTAATACTGCTCAAGAACTGAAGCAATGCAGTGTGACTCGAAGTGCCCAAACACATTGTAATTTTATTTTAAAGGCATCATTGCCCAAATTCTTCAGAACACATCTAATCCCAACTAAGTGGCACTTGTAAGCTGTCTTACACAGTGATACGTTTCGGCCGTTCAGGTGGAAGGTCCATTGTCAATGCTGTGGGATCACTTCACTTTAATAAATTATCGCGTTAGCGTTAACTATGTCACCTTACATAAATTCTGGCGTGAATTCTGGCGTCGCTGGTTGTGAGCGAGAAATCAATGTTGTCCGTGGAAGAAAAATTGAGGAAAATGCAAATAAAACAAACAATAAGACTTTCGGGATTAAGTGAGGATAGAACCATGATTTTTCGCGTGGCGAGCAGGTGTTCTACCCCACAGCTGCGCCATTGCTTGAAGCTAACTACGAAAAAAAAAACACTATACGTATAAATGTTGTGCAGCGGGAGGAGCCTCCCTAACGCATGCATGCAATATTGCCCGGCAGAGGCGTATAATCGCAGTAAGCGTGAGAACACATAGATTTCGCAGCTGGAGGGTCTTTTAAAGGCTCACCCATTACAAAGCTCTCTGACCTAGATAGTCAGCATCATCAGCAACAGCATCCAGAAAAAAAAAAAACTGCATAGGTTTGCGTGTTGCCTTATGGACGCGTCGTGGGCCCTTCACTGATTCGCAAAAGAAATTGTGGCTAAGTGGGCACTTCGTAAAAGGCCTTTTAGGAGAGTTTGAAACAACCAATTCTACACGCATTGAGGTGCCTTTACTTGCAGCATGGTTGAGATGAGCAGCAATCAATAAAGTCAGGCTAGTGTTTTAGAAGGCGATGCGCAAGGGGCCCGCTTACGCTATCGCGTTACTCTCATGAAGGTAAAGCTCGAGCGTTTTCCAAGCTCTTTAAAGACGACATTCTTTCTTCGGAACCTTCGACACAAAAAGTTTGGTTTGTCTGAACATTTGTTTGTTTGCCTGCCCTTAACGGTACCCTAAACGGCACCAAAGTGGCCAAACGATACTTCAAACTGCCAACCCTATCCGCAGCGGCCACCAATATTGGTCAAGATTCAGCGTTCATACTTGTGCGATTGTCAATGAAGAAGCAGTCATTGCACATATCTGAGGCCCCATAGCAACACGTATATATTTTTTATGTGCGTCTTTTACTAAAAAAGGCATATATAAGTAATTCTAAGAACCGTAGCATTTATCACGTCGCGCTGACCATACAACGCTTGCGCGCAAAAGCAAGTGTTTCCAACGCTTTGCTAAGACGACACGGTGGTGTCACCTACCCAGCGCCTTGCGTTCTACGCCTCATCACCTCCGAGACGGGCGTGCAGGGCACGTGCACTTCATTTTTCAAGATTACTGCCAGATAGCGCTCATGTCTCATGTGCGACGTGACTAGATGCGCTCATTCGCCTCCGCTGCAGGCTCGAGACACTCTAACGCAGTGCCTCCAGAATACCATATTCACTAATTTTCTTCCGCAGAACATCAAAGAAACATTTTGTTCACTCTCTTCAGATGCAAGACTATCTTTCTACGATATTTGCAGTGCAACATGCAGATACGGCGCCAATTTTTTTTATTGAGGATTCAGTAATCACCCAGGAGTCTATGACAGGTCGAAGCCTTTACAAATGATGCTTGTCAATCGAAATGACAATGTTTTAAAGTTTATATTCGCAAGTTTTCTTTGTAATTGGCCTGCATATTTCACTAATACATCGGGCATCAGGATTGAGTGAAAGTATATTTAAATAACAATATCATGGTAAGACGATTGAATAGATGCCCCATTCTTATATAGGCCGAAAATAAATAATAACAAGACAATTTCAGTGGGCTGAGACATAACTGCTAATGCAGTTTCGTAGGCTTACACTAATTAACGCACTTACCACGTTACGGGTCCTTGGCGGCAATTTATAGTTTGCTGTATAGTTCGTGGGGATCATATGTGTTTATCACATGAGTGGCGCCAAGCCCAAGGCACATTCGCTAATTTCCCCAAGAGATGGAAGAAATTGGCTCTTTAGCAGAATGAAAATAGTGATGTGGGCTTCTGCATAAATATTAGCGAAATTTAGTAAAACTAAATACACCATTCTAATGAGACAAACGTTCTATCATCTTAACATTTCATAGCGAACGTACGCGATCCTGCAACGCGCCCATGCTCTGTTTCTCGTGTTTATTTCAACTGTCAATCATGCTGATTATGCACAAAATATAAATTGATACAGCCCTAGCAAGAGGGAAAACTCTGATGAGGGTCAAATTGAAATGTTAGACGTTAGACTAAAGTAAGCATCGAATATTGACAGCCCCGCCGTGGTGGTCTAGTGGCTAAGGTACTCGGCTGCTGACCCGCAGGGCGCGGGTTCAAATCCCGGCTGCGGTGGCTGCATTTCCGATGGAGGCGGAAATGTTGTAGGCCCGTGTGCTCATACTTGGTTGCACCTTAAAAAAGCCCAGGTGGTCGAAATTTCCAGAGCCCTTCTTACCGGTGCTGTATACCGGTGCTGGTATTATGCGAATATATTCGGCACGTCTTATGATATACATATCAAGCTAATCCTCCAATATTGTGAATGTCCAAAAATACCGTTTGTAAAAGCTACTATGACAGCATCTTATCATTCATGTCAGTGGTCGGCAACGGTGAAGGGCCAAGTGGAATGAGGCTGTTGAACGACATTGAATTAACAGCGGGGGGCCGGATGGCAAGTCGGAGAGGGGGAGATGCAGACCACCCCCCGTTCAAGTATGACAATTATTTTCAGAAGTGGACTAGAAATCATGTTTACTTTCGCTCTTATATCACAACATTGCAATCAAACATAGGTTTTGAGCTAAAATACCATTTTCAATAAAAACTGCGAAGTCGCCCATCAGAGAGGACGTGGCATCGAAAAGTGGGGGAGAGGTTGAGGTCTTGAAATGGGCCACGTAATACTGCACCGTCGGCCACATGTGGTTCACTAGCCGCAGGTTTCAGACCCCCAATTTATTTCATCCATGCTCGATACTGATGCACATGAGAATTATGTGGCGTCATGCACATAATATTTAGTCATTCGTGTTCCTCACTCACGCATCTCGCGCTGCAAACATCACACTTACAGATGATGTCTGACGGCCTAAGTGCCGTTGGTTTGGAGCCGCTACGAAATACTGCTGACCGAAATTCAAACATTCCAGTGATCGATCGAAAGTATAGTGTTGACATGTGCCGCTAGATGGAGCCTCCGCGATGCAGCTACACACACTTCGCTTTCTCAGTTTGTGCGGGTTCACGCTTTCAACCTGAAGCAGGAAAACGCACGAGGTGCTCTGTTGTTATTAAAGACAATAGTCTTTCTTGGGGACCTTCGACAGAAAAAATTTGGTCTGTCTGCCTGTCTGTCTGCCTGTACGTCTGTATATTTGTCTGTTTATCTGCCCTTACCTATACCTCAAACGGCACCAAACGGCCGACACCATCCACAGCGCCCATCAATATTGCTCAAGATTTAGTGTTCATAGTTGTGCGATTGTCAATTAAAAAGCAATTATTGAGCATATCTGAGGCGCCATAAGAACACGTCATCTTGTATGTCTGCCTTTATACTAGAATAGGTACACACAAGTAACTCTAAGGACTGTAGCGTTTATCGTGCTGCGCTGACAGTGCAACACGATGCTCAAAAAGGTAAGTGTTTCCTACGCTTTTCTACGACAACACGGTGATGGCACCTGCCCATCGCTTTGCGTTCTACACCTTATCCCCTCCGAGAGAGGCGCGCATCTTTCTCCACGAGCGTGTACGCCTTCGTTTTCGAAGATAACTGCGAGATGGCACTCGTGTCTAACGTTCCTCGATGCGTTTGTTCGCCTCCGCTACACGCTCGAGGCACTCTAACCCAGCGCCTCCAGAATACTATTCACAGGTCTTCTTGCGGCGAACATCAAATCAACATTTTGTTCACTCTCCCCAGACGCAAGACTATCGTCTTTCGACGACATTTGCAGTGTAACATGCAGATTCAGGGACAATTTTTTCATTCTTCGTTTTTTTATTTGGTTTAGTTTTGCTTCAGCCTTCGTTGATACTAAAAAATTTATAACCACGCTCGTTTGTCTTTGATGTGTGTACCGTGAACTGTTGTTCCCAGGTTTGATTGCAAGAAACTGTTTTCCATATCACGCGTGTTTCTATTTCATAACGCTTTGCGTGTTCTACATTGCCTTAACGAGCTTCTTGTAAAGTAGATATAAGGATACGGTGTTTGGCCAAGTGGAATTGCGAGATATATATTTTAGGAGGAGCCAGACCCCCCTTCATACACGTTGGCGTGTGTATGTATGCATGCACATGTATACTACGTCAAGAAACAAAATGTAGAAATTTCGGGAAAGGGGACGGCACCGAAAACGCGGTACTGTCTTAACAACAGAGGCGATGCTAGAGAGGGAGATAAAATGCCGAAAGAAGATTCCAGAGACCAAAGCAAATAAGAGGCCTAATGCAATAACATAGGTGACATCCTGTGCACCTGGTAAGCGCGAACAAAACAAAAACGTCTTGTTACACTTCTTCATCAGAGTATTTACCAGCCAATCGTAGTTCTGGCACATTATTAGTAAAAATGTCGCCAATAAATTGAGAAAGTAACTTGCGAAGAACAAAATATTTTGAAGAAGCAGTGTGTGCATCTAGTAAACAGCCACGCTTTGTCTGGCATACCTTTTTCGGCGTGCAGGCTACGACGATATTAGTACCACAACATACTTAGGATTAACCACAGAAAATGTCCAGTAACAAACATTCCAGTGGCATGAAAACTGAGCAACATAAAACGTCACACTAGAACTTGATATTACAGAATGTATAATCATAGTTTCTATTTATGAACAAAAATTATTACCTATATCACAATTTCAAAAAACAAAATCAATCTAGATCTTCTGCTAATAGTGTTTAACAATTTTTAAGGGAACGTGGCTGACCAACTCTTTTTCTAAACGTATGATTTTTAACTAATGCTCTGGGCTGCAAACTATGTTAGAATATTAAATTACGGGTTTTTTTCCCTAGAACATCGGATTGCGTTTTTTCCCACGAGGCCAAAATAGACCAGTAAACTACTGCTAAAAATTCTTCACAGGAATTCCATAATTTTTCTGAAACTCAAGAGGTCTAGCACAAGTGTTGTTGCAAAAGCACATAGAAAATTTATACCTTCAGGTAGAGATTAGCAAGTGCTGCTCGTGGGACATCGTAGTTAGGGTATTGCAGTCGTACGTTGCACGTGCAGGGAGGCCTCGGCTGCGGCGTAGAGCGCTTCGGTGACACAAGCGGTGAGTCGCTGGAACCGGAGCGCGCCAAGGGGGTTTCGGCACACGGCTGTGCACCACGCGCACTACAGGTGCAAGGTGCACCGCCGAAGCCATGGATTCCCGGCAACATGGAGTCCACCACAGGAGATGGCGTCGCAGCGGAGGACGGTCGAACACCTGGATAATTCTGCGAGGGAATTGAACTTAGCTTCAGAAATGTTTTCGGCACACCAATACCGTCAACACCTGAGGAAAGAACCGAACAAATCCCGAAAAGGCAGTTACATTTAAAAGAACAGTGGCTGTAGCCATTTCAGCACATAGAAGGTCACAGCTAACATTGGTATTAATAGAGGTATCCATACTTTGATGTGCAGAATTAGTAAAATATTACACGGGCAAAAAGTCAAACTTGTCACACTTTTGCCAACTTTATTCAAGAGCGTAAGGCAGAAAAATACAGTAACTTTACAAAGCTTAAATGTCATTGCTTATCTTGTGAATCAACTTTTATACCAGCAGAAGAAACTATTTTCCGAACAGTCTTTCTGGTTATTATCACTCATTCGAGCTTCTGCACGCTTTGAAAGGTTCCACGGGACTAACAATTTTTTGTTCCAGATATATTCTAGCTATTAAGTGTTAACAGTGTGGTTTATATTCAGAACTTTTTCAGATACATTGGAGGTGGTTGCCTAAATGGCCGGGACATTAAGTGTGGAATGAACCATCTGGACACATGTTTGCTTTCATAGGTGTCATGCTCAAGTTTCACCTCTTTATAGTGTTAGAAGCGAATACACTTCAGCAACTTAGTGTCGTCTATTACGTGAACTTGTGCATACCAATCAGTGCGTTTATGCAAAATATTATGCATTTGCAAAATATTATGCTTATACAGTGCTGAAGAACGGACGCGTTCTATACTACCGTGGATTAGTTGACAGAAAAGAACTAGGGGTGGGGTTTCTTATACACAAGACTATCGCTGGCAACATAGAAGAATACTATAACATCAGTGAGAGGGTGGCAAGTATTATAATTAAGCTTAACAGAAGGTACAAGATGAAGGTGGCACAGCCGTACGCGGTTACATCGAGCCATGATGATCATTTGATTGAACGCTTCTATGAAGGCGTACAGTCAGCCATTAATAATGACACAGTATACTATTCTGATGGAAAACTTCAATGCCAAGGTAGGCAAGAAACATGCCAGAGACTATGCAGTGGGGGAATACGGCATCGGCTCTAAAAAATGCCAGAGGACAGTTATCAGTAGAGGTCGCAGCACGTAATAATTTACGAATCTTACCTTCCTTGGAAAAAGGGCTAACTGTTAGTGGACGTGGCATAGTTCCAATGTCAAAACTAAAATTAAATAGTCTTCATTCTGTGCACACCCAGACATCGTGCAGGATGTAGAAGTAGTTGGCAAGATCCGATGCAGTGACTGTAAAATGGTTGGAGCTCGTATTTACTTAGATTTAAGAAAAAGGAAAGGCATAAACTGATACGCAAGAAGTCAGTTAATGAGCTAGCCATGAGAGGGAAAGTACATAAACTCAGAGTTTCGCTTCAAAATACATTCGAGGCTCTAAACGAGGTAACCGACGTTAGCATGAACATAATCAACTCTAACCTTACTAGTATCATAAAAGAATGTGCAATGGAAGTTGGAGGAACAGTCACTGGACAGGACACTGGCAAACTATCTCAGGAGACGAAAAATCTCATTAAGAGACGACACACCAAGACAGCCTCAAATGCAATCGACAATAGAGCTAGTGGAGCTTTCAAAGTTAATGAATAGGCGCAAGTAAGCTGACAGCAGATGAGATAGCATGGAGGAAATTGAGCTGACTGTAAAAAGCAGTAGAAGCCTAAAAGCTGCAAAGGCAAACTTGTGTATAGGCAAAATTGGCTGTATACATTAAGGGAAAAAGAAGACAATGTCATAACCAATATGCAATGACTATGGTGACGGGGCCTGTCAAATCAGTATTATTGTTAGAGTGAGGGGACCCGCCAGCGTCGTGTAATCGTGATTACAGTGACGGGGCCCGTAAAGGTAGTAATATTGTAACAGTGAGGGGCCCGTCATAATATCGAGGCAGCTGGAGTGATGGGCCCCATCACCGTAACGCAATGACTACGGTGTGGGGGCGCGTCACGGTATTGTAATAGTAAAAATTAGGGGTCCGTTGCTGTAAACTTGTAGTCATTTTAGACATCGCCGTCTGGCTGTTTTGGTGGCATAGTGGCTGGACGCGCAGCTGGGGAAGTGGTCGTTCTGCAGGTCGTCAGCTCACAATCCTGTTTTTTAGTTTTTTTTACTTTCTTTAGGGTACTGCGTCAAGATTTACATTACTGCTCTGAAAGAGTCGTAATTTTGCTTTCTTGCAAGAAAATCATGTCACTGTTTGTGCTGGTTGTTAGACAGCCCTACCGCGTTGATTTTTCGTGGCACTAGTGTGTAGCATGGTGCGTTGTAAATGTGCGAGATCAGTTTGAATGGCGCACACCAACTAAAATTTTCTCTTTTTTACTGCTTTGAATATTGTTTGAAGTAATGTTGCCTATTTCAAAGAGAAAATCGCGCGGGGTAACATCCTGAGTGGAGTGATGGGAGGAGCCACCGGCCAGCGAGAACCTGGACGATCAGCTAGACGATCAGCTGAGAGAGTGAGCGTTGGAGACAGTGAACAAAACGTTTATTTGATGTTCTGCGCAAGAAAATCGGCGAATGGTATTCCCGAGGCGCTGCGTTAGAGTGCCTCGAGCGTGCAGCGGAGGCGAACGAGCGGATCAAGTCACATCACACGTGAGACATGAGCGCTATCTGGCAGTTATCTTAGAAAACAAAGCACGCGGTGTGCGCCCCCGTCTCATAGGTGATGAAGTGCAGAAGGCAAGGCAACGGGTAGAAGCCACCATCGTGTCATCTTAGCAAAGCGTTGGAAACACTTGCCTTTTCATGCAAGCGTTGCATGATGAGCACAGTGGGATTAATGCTACGGTCTTTGGAATTACTTATGTATGCCTTTTCTAGTAGCAGTCGCACATACAAAATATATACGCGTTGCTATGGTGCCTGAGATATGCACAATATTTGCTTTTCAATTGGCGATTGCACAAGTATGAACGCTGAACTTTGGGTAATATTGGGGGGCACTGCGGATGGGGCTGGCCGTTTTGGGTATCGTCTGGGGCCGTTCAGGATACCTGGCACCACTGAGGATGGACAAACAGACAAATGTTCAGACAGACAGACCAAAATTTTTGCGTCGAAGGTCCCCAAGAAAGACTACTGTCTTGAAAAGCAGACGCGAAAGCAACTGCTGCCTGCACGTGAGATGGCGGCGGAGCACTCTAGCCACGTACGTCACAGGGATACCTCCCCATGGTGGCGCAACGGCATGTCCTCGTGCCCAATTGCTGCATTGCTATTAGGACGAGCGCCCTCACTGTTACGATTTCACTACACTGACGAGCCCCCTCACTTTAACAATAGTACTATGCTGACGGGCCCCATCACAGTAGTCACGATCTCACTACACTGATGGGCCCCCTCACTATGACAGTACTGCACTGACGGGCCCCATCACTGTAGCCTCTTCGGATATGTGACTGGCAAAGGAATCGCTCTCAACCAGCTTCTTCAAGGGCACTGCTTTACGATGTGGCTGGGAGCGTTTGCCACGTGGTACTTTTCATATTTCATGGGGATCGTTTATCATCCAGAAAAACTAAGTTTTTTTTTGTTGCAATTCGTACGTTGCTGAAAATAGTGCAGTTCCATGCCCCACGTGTTTGACTATAACTGCCTCATTGAGGCTTCAAGGATTAGAACAGCACAGTTCTAGAATTGGATATGTGGGGTTTAACGTCCCAAAACCACCATATGGTTATGAGACGCCGTAATGGAGGGCTCCGGAAATGTCGACCACCTGGGGTTGTTTAACGTGCACTGAAATCTGAGCACACCGGCCTACAACATTTCCGCCTCCATCGGAAATGCAGCCGCAGCAACCTGGATTCGATCCCGTGAGTTGCGGGTCAGCAGCCGAGTACCTCAGCCACTAGACCAAAGCGGTGGGGCATAGTTCTAGATTTAGATGTTGAATTAATTCACATAGATAAATGCAATCAATAAAAATTACTATCGGCTCTGTGCCAGGAACAATATGTATTAGGTTTTTCGAGTAATGCTATAGCGGCTTTTTTAAAAAAATAGTTCTGCAAGCTAGCTTGATATATATATATATATATATTTAATACTGTCGTTTTATGTTGATTTCTCATTTCGGCATTGAGGCGACAAACTTGTACCACTTCGTTTTTGTTCTGTGTATGGAATATATTAGCTGGCACTTGCACTAAGGCTGCTGGCGATTGGATTAAACATGGTGGCACTTGGATTCAACTCACTAGCACGTGGCCTACTTGCGCTGGCCCTTAGATTAAATATATCAGCGCTAGGATTGATGTTTGGCTCATAGATTAAAAGCAGTTTGGTCATCAGATTATTTCAGCTGGTACTCGGATGAAAGGGAGTGGGAAAACCTGCAGTATGAAGTATAATGTATTTTTTTTCAGCAACAAACACAATGGTCATTGAGTCAGCTGATTCACTATATTATATAAAAGCGGAATGGCTTGTTCAGTTGGAGAGATGGTTCCACCAACTTGGAGACGAAAATGAATTTGAACTTACTCTGAACAGTTCTCCTGCGTCCGTGTGAATGATACTTCGAGGCTGGTCGTACAGGGACTCCAAGAAGCTCCGTGGCACATTGTACTCGGACGAGCTAGTGCTGGCGCCACTGGTGCTGGCACTGCTTGTGCCACTGCTCTGGGAGCAGAGCGACGCGCGGTCTGATGGTTTGCCACCGCGGCCGCCCACCTGAGACGCCACACCACTGGCTGGTCGGCTGCCGGAGTCTGCGATGCCCGGCGACCTCCCGTGCACGGCTGCGCCTGTCGTCTGCCGGAAGAGTCGTGATGCCTCCTCGTGACTGCCCTTACATTCGAAAATTTTGCCTACCTTACGAAATTATTCCTGTCCGTTTTTCTCTTAAGCTAAAATTTTATTAAGGCAAATCGCTATCACGGCTGTCTGCTCCTACTTATGTTATTTTTTAAACCAAAATTCACTCATACCTTGCTCAAAGTAATACCTGGCGTGGCAGCTTTCGGTGAGACCAGATGTAGTTATAGCTACAAAATTCTCATTCGTGTTGTATATGTATTATCGGCATGACTCTGAATAAAGACACCCTAGTTAGCGCAAAAACAAACAAACAAAAGAAATGTTGTACAGAGGAGGAGGAGGAGGAATAGGAGGAGGAAGAGGAGGAGGAATAATGATTTATTTTTCGAAATGGTGTAGCAGTGTAGGTTCCACCGTGATAAGTGAATTCTTCGTGAGCGTTCACACCCAGTGTAATAGTTTCAGACATCGACACTTGTGAGTAAATGCGTGAAACTTCTTTGTAGGAACTGGTCCGTCTTTCCAGGTATTTTCGACTAACGTTATCACTGCTCAACTGATTAACAGGTACCTTGTCTCAGGAACCCCTCTGTAGCGTACAAGCTGTTCTGTGAATATGACTTGGTTTGTAGCGACAGGCGGTGGTTTCACTGTATCATAAAATGAAGCGGGCAACACTGACTTAGACATAGCATACTTAAAGGATCGCTGCCAAACATACCCATGCCTGCTGTTGGTGCGTCTTAGGGTCCACTGTCCACTGCGGGGAAAACCATCGGCTGCCATCTGGAGATCTGCCGCTCTGATTAGGAAAGCTACAGCGGGCGCAGTAGTGGCGCCCGCATTTTCCACAGTGGGTGTATGTCCTGCATAAAAAGTCACGCTTGAGAATTCTAACATGCAGTGCATACTCGTGACAGTGCCTTCTTACTTGATTAAATGGACACTAAAAAGAGAAATGACTTTTCTGTTATTAGTGAAGCACCCTTTCACAATTCCAAAGTCACTGCACTTGCCGTGAGAAGACGCTTGGCAAGCGAGAAAAATTGCAAAAAGTAAATACGGTTGGTGACGCCACCTCTAAATTCCTGCACTGAACGCAACGACGTCATAAATGTTAATGTGTAGAAATTAAGCACAATGTCTGGTGATGGGGACAGTTAGTTAACATATCAAGTTTCCGGAAATTTTGTTGATGCCGGCAAGATAAGACACTCTTGGAAATTCGGGATGTCGCGCACACATATCTTGGCTCGAAAATTAAAAATGGTACTTTGACCTCGATTTTCTCCTCCAATAGTGAAGTTACGATGGGAAGATGAACAACATTAGAGATCTCAGAGAATGCTTTATCAACTTTAACCAATTCAATATTTCACTTCAGTGCTCGTTTTAAAGTGCTTTGGAAAATGTTCATGAGTACTTTACTTTCCAGCATAAATGAGAGTAACACTGATATATTAGGTGAAATGGTAGTGACTCAGCGAGTGATTATGCAACAAAGTCATGCAGAACAATAGCCTAAAACCTTTCCCAATATTCCTCAACAAATTAGTTCGTATCCTCACAATTCAATAAATACCATGGCTATACCGCAAGGATGGGACTAATGAACAAATGAGGCCATAATAATTTTGCTGCATCTTGTTTAAACCACGTAATGCTGTGCTCAGTAACAGTAACGCTAAAAAAAAACTGACGCTCTGATGCTAAGCGTTGAAAGTGCCAACAAGCTGTCATGAATCTGGCCACACAAGATTCGTGAGTAGTATCAAAACTTTGAAAGCGTCTGGTGCGTGCACGAGCAAGTGTGATATTTTGGAGCACGCTGAAGACCAGTTTAGAAATCAAGTTTTGGCCGAGACCGACTCTGTTGGCCTGCTGATATTGAAGCTCTCTTGCTGAAATTAAGCATTGCTGCGGTCAGCGGCGCAAGAGCTGGACCAGATGTGTATGTACCTTTCGCGAGCACTACAACTTTGTATTGTTCGCCATAGCAATAAAACATTCACACTGAAAGTCAGAAACTCTGGGCATGATGATTCCCGGGGGAACGGCCTGTAGCAGAGCGCAGGACTTGTTCAACGCGGACAGCGCTACGAATTGCGAATATTATTTTTACCATACTGCCGGAGCACTGCTGGAGACAGGCAGAGGGCTGCTGTCTTGGTTGTCAGCAGTCTCTTTGGTACCCAGGGGTTCTTGAATGTCGCTGATGGTCAGCGACACGGTGTCTGCACTTTCCGCGTCGCTGGAGGACACGCTGGGTGCGGGACCTCCCTGTGACACGCACGAGGGCCACCTGGGGTACGCAGAGACAATCGATTATGCTTTTTTTGGGGGTGTCATGCATGTTCAATAGAATCGGTTATATCGAATCAAGGAGCGTTGACGCGTATGACAAAAAAAAAAGATGAAAAAACAAACACGGCGTATATCCTTAAGGTGAACCACCGCGCTGTACGAAGAAGTGTTGTTCCAAGGCACAGTAGCACACCTATTTCGTTGTATTGCTGTAAGAGCAGACGGCTAACATTAGCAGCCACTCCTCAATCCCTCAATCTGTTGGGCAATGACGCTGTCAGGCGTGTCCTGCTGTAAATTGTGTAATTGTAGAAGGAAGAAGGCCAATATCAGAAGAACCATGTGAGCAAAAATTTTTGGAAGTTCAGCCGTTTCAACAGAAATTTTAGCATGATAATAAAAAATAGGATGGTTATCATGGGTCATAATATACTTGAATGTAAAGGTATCACGAAATACAGGAACAAGAAAGGAATAGCAATGGCCCATTTTTTTAAAAGAAATATGCTTTCTCTAGAACTGATTGTAGGAACTACCAGCCATTCGTAATGACGGACATGTGATTAGAAAAGATTTCCAGCCGATGAAAAATGACAATAACGAATGGAAACTTTTCAAATTTTGATTACAATACCATTTCGTGGGACATAACATACCAGCCTGGCTTTTTTTTTCTGCGTTAAGAGCATAGCCTGGCTCCTCGAATTAGTTATTGACGTGATGACTGAGAGTGAGTAAAAAACAAATTAGAATTCCTTTTTTGCTAAAGTATTCCGCGTTGTCCCGTCAGCCCTTTTCAAACAACGCCTTGTCTCCACAGTGTTTGCAATGCAAGTTTGGAATTCCCTCTTGGTTTTAAGTTTTCACTACACTAGAAAACAGAATGGCTTCCTCATGTGTCTACGAAAAAAAAAAAAAAACATAGCACAGTCTTCCGTTTTTTGCACTAAAAATTTAAGCCCACTTAAGGATGAAATTGAAAAACTATACCAGCGTGGCTTGTTTCTGCTATTGTAATGGTAAACAAATGAAAGTACCAATGATGCCGTTTGGCAGTAGGCAATGGTAAATGTAAATATTATTGCGGCTAACGCCTCCTTCCCCTTCCCCTTCTCCGATTCTTCACCCATTTTCCGTAATGCGTAGGGGTCATAAAATGAAGGATTCCCATCATCAATGTGCTGGCTCGGCCCTTCAGTAGGAACGCTGTCGTGACGGCCGCTAAAGAAAGCGGCCTACTATTAAACTGTGCATGGAAATAATGTGCCCTATTTCTACTCCGATAAGAAATTCATCCGGCTCCAAGACCTGGTTTTGAAGAACATAGAACGAATCGCTAAGCGCTGCTCTTCGAAGCAGTCGAGTGGAGCAGCATTTTTTTTTAATTCTAACATTAGTTGCAACTGAACTGGCATAGCGTTAATGCAATATAATTCCATTGCAATATAATTTGGTAAGAACTTCCAGCGGATAACGTCCCTATGTGTAAAGTTGGAAGGACATGCAGGTAATCATATGAGATGATCCAGTTGCCCTGCCTTCTTTTCTAGTTTTTTGTGAATTATATAGTTTTTCTTACACTTGTCTCTTCAGGAGCGGCTTCTAACTTTGCCAGTGGTTTCCTCACACATTGTAATTATAATAAATAATATTACTACAATTATTATTAGATAGCTTTTTCTTACTTACGCCTTTGATTTGATTGATATGTGTGGTTTAACGTCCCAAAACCACCATATGATTATGAGAGAAGCCGTAGTGGAGGGCTGCGGAAATTTTGACCACCTGGGGTTCTTTAACGTGCACCCAAATCTGAGCACACGGGACTACAACATTTCCGCCTCCATCGGAAATGCAGCCGCCGCAGCCGGGATTTGAACCCACAACCTGCGGGTTCAGAACCTTAGACACTAGACCACCGCGGCGGGGCTCCTTACGCCTTTAGCGATGGTCTTGATACTAAACAGTTATAGTTTACTTTTAGCGTGATAGCGGAGGTTAAGGGAATGGCGTCACCGTGCAGCAAACGTTCATTGAGGACAGCGCCTTATAGTTTGGCGGGATAGCGTTTACGTGGTTTACGTGCCCCAGCTGGGATGTTGGCGCCACCTATCGCAGGGCTGAGAAGTAAGAACAGTGAAAGGGAAAAGAAAATGAGAATGTCTACCTGTGTCACCACGCGAAGCATTGTTACAAGTTTATTTTAGTAATGACAAGTGCAAATAAATATGAACCACGAACCAAACGCGAAAACATTTATGTTGCCGATTTATTTACTTTGATCTTTTAGTTAGACCTGAACACGTTCGAAATGGGAAGCTATCTCAAAAAAGTACGCCAACTTCTTCGTAATACTCGGTTGTCGAAGCTAGCTGAAGGCAAGCGAAGCTATTTTAAACAGTGATTTTCTACGAACGAAGTGAACCTTTCAACAACTATGCCGGAATCACTTCGAAGCGGGCGTTCGAGAGCACCACCATGTTTTACGTACACTAAGTACACCTACGCTAACACGGTAACGTTACATCTGAAAAATCGTGCGTAGGGAAAGCGGTACGGGCAACGTACGTATCTGTGCATGCGCACTTCGATCCTGGTATCACGGTACGCCCGGTAAGCCCGGTACACTATAACTGTCAACTGTAGAGCCCGCTACGTGTACGGGCTCTCTTACCTGCCATTTGGGGGCCCCTCATTCATAAAGATAACTCGGTCGTTGCACTTATGCGAAATAAGCAAATTCACTTAAAGGGAACTCGGCATCGAAGCTTCATACGAGCTGGCTTGCTTATTTTTTTTACCCCCTATTATCATTCTTATTTTTTATTCCATTTTGTTGGGCGAGTTGCTGAGGGACCGTGTCGCCCGATAAGGGGGCGCGAGACGATCAACAAGAAACTATGAATAAAATAAATGACGAGCCCTGAAAAAGCGAGCGCAGTAAGGAAGCGTGCTCGACTGAGCGGCGCACCTGTAGTGGACTTTACAGAAGGTCCTCGAGCGGAAGAAGTCGTCAGGCGTTGGGGCGTCGCTGGCGAAGCGCACTATCTCGAAGCAAGCATCGCAGGAGCCCACGTCAGAGCAGCCCGAGCTGAGCAGCGGCCTACGGGACTCGCTGCTGCTGCACTGACTCGACTCCTGGGCCCGAGAACGAGGCTGCAGCGACATCCGCGACGGCGTCTCCGTGGCTGCACGGCAAGAGCACTTCACTCAGCGTGCATCGCTCGTAGTTTGCAAAGAAACCAATTCCACTGATAAAACCTGGAAACAAGCACAGCTCACGCCGAACTTGTGCCGCAGTTTGAATGCACCGAGAAAGCGAAAAAAAAAAAGGAACACAAAGCGGGCACACATGCTTCAAAGTGACGTTCAGACGTATTCACTAGAAATTTTTTTCAATGGCGGGTTTCGTCGTCCAATGCATACTGGAGATCGTATGGCGCAAAAAGGAGAAGGAAAAACACACTGAGAAAAGTTATCATGGGCTTGAGAAAGGCAGTCGGTCAGTCAAATAACGTTTTCGCTTTACAAGGCAGAAGTGAATGGGACGATTAAACATTTAAGTGAAAAGTAAGTATTTGACGGATTGCGGAACAAGCTTTTACAAAGGTACTCATAATATCTAAAAATATCTAGTCACGTTAAACTTTAACAGAACCTGTAGCTGGAGGCACAACAGAATATAGGGTTGGTCCGATCCTTGACGAAACATCATCGTCTTTTTCCACAGCGGCACATGCAAGCCAGGCAGCAACTTCACCGCATCGTGCAAACTACCATTATGCGCGTGCATCATATACAATATATATGTATGCTTTCATCTCCACTTCGCGTGCAGAAAACAAGGAAAGGCACAAAAGCCATCTATATTTATTTTTTACACTGTAAGTATGTAGTACACCGTTCTTTACTTCATCGCGAAGAGCAGGGTAGGCCATAGGGAGAACATTCGCGATCCTGTCTCCCGAGGCCTTAGGTCAACGCATGCCGCGTAAAACAGAAGCGGAAAGTTGTTTTGTGCTTGGTCACGCACAGAAAGGCACCTGACTCGGGTGCTTCGAGAAAAAGAACAGAAAAAAAAAACACGTCGCCGCTGCCGACAGGAAGTCACGGGCCGCAGCAACAGCAGCGTGAGACGGCCGGCTGACCTGAAGCCTTGCAGGGGAGCTTCCTGCGTGCAGCCAGCTTTCCCTTGGACGCTGCTTCGAAGGCCTCGGCCAGTTCTTCGGCCTGGTTGGTGTGGAGCACGTGCAGCCCTTCGCCTGCGGAAGACGTTGGCGAGTCACGACACGTCCCGGTGACACGTTCATTCGCTACTAAATACACTCGGTGACTAATAGGCACTCACGTGCATGAGAACCCGATATTGTGGTAATTGCATGTTTCACGTTCTGGGGTCTCTGCATCTGAAGCTGCTATGGTGCCGCTATGAAACTTTTTCAATCACCCAGTTGGAGCGACGATTTGCGCAAATCCTACAACGTGTTTGAACAAACGAGGGCGTTGTTTGTTAACATACGCCGTTTACCCTCATTTATAATTACGTTTAAACTACTGAACGGTAACCACATTTGCACAGTGCTATTTATTGCGATGCAATTTTCAGTCTATAACCTGTGAAAAAACCGGTATGGTTGTTTAAGAGAAGCAGGTTCTGCAAAACGGTCAGAAATGCTAGGCAGGACACCTAATAACTGCGTGACAATGTTTTTCTGAGGTGGTAGGTTGGATGTAGCACAAAAGACTCCCACCACGAAGCACGGACACAGTGAGCAGACACGGCGACAAGGCACTGGTCTGTTTCAACTGAAGGCTTGATACTGAATGGAAAAGGGGGCAATGCTGGAACGAATACAATGGAAGAGATAAGGACAGGACATCTCGTCCTTCGTATTCGTTCTAGTACTCCTCGCTTTTCCCTTCAATATGAACCCCAACCAACTCGCCTATCTATCTTTGATTACGGAACGTTTGATACTTGTTTTCACAGAACGAATTTTATGTGTTCAGTTACGTGTCTATTCAAGTAATGTTCCATCTTCGTTTCTTACCAAACCAGTTCATTTCACTGGACACCTTTCTCACCTGGAATCACTGTGGCAAATGCACATGCTTAAGTTATATATTGCAGCTTTAGAGCGTAACCGAGGACACTGCTTCCGACTGGTTCGAGCATCTCGACATGTGAAGTTATTTGCGTGAACCACTTATCGAAGTCCTATAACTTAGCTTTGCTTGATTCACATTACAGCCGTAAGTTTCTCAAGCACTTTGACAAGAGACAAATCGTGCACAGCATTTTATGCGGAAACAGTAATACCGGCGTACCCTTTCCGCACTTGGAGCCACCCTCGAAGCAGAATTTTCCGTCAACCAGCCCAAAGCGGCGAAGTTCTTTCAGAGGCCAGCTGCCCAACAGGCGAGGAGGCACTCCCGATGTCATGCAGAAGAGGTGGTCTTGTAAGTGTAGTCGCGCCGGGCCGCTCGCCAACTTCGCGCGGCCCGGCGCATGCCAGATTTGCACTAGAAATTGTTGTACTGCGTAGAAAGGTAACAAAAACATGTCGGTGGTAGTTTCCTGGAACTTATTAGGCCGAAGTAACTTTTATCAGTGCGCAAGTACACTCCATTATGCGCGAACTCAATTTTTGTGTCATCCCATATCAGGTCAAAAGGGCGAAAAATGCGTGCAGTAAGGAGGGATTTATTGAAAAGGGGCTGACATCCGAAAGTTCAGCTGCATAGTTCACAGAAATTGATGGAAGTGAGTGATACACAAAAACAACAAAGCCTACTTAGCACACTGCAGTGTACTGTACATATCAAGAATATGAATCATCTCGCACCTGCGACGCACGAAATTGAACAGGGTAAAAAAAAGCGAGCAAGTGGCCCAGCATGTGACATCACGTATAAGAGCTATCGATAGTTGCGAATCACCTGTCGCTTACCTTCTGCAACGTTGGAACGTATCTTGACCTGCCACTGGATAAGTAGCTCTCTGGAGTCGAAGGCCAATGCCAGCACAAGGTCGGGGCAGATGAGCGCCATTGTGTGGCTCTCTTTGTCAAGCGTGAAGCCCGATTCGAGGCCCAGGCAGCCCGCCAGCGACAGTGACGCCTTGGTCGGACCCTGCTTGCACCGCTCCTTGCTGTCGCGATACAGCTGCACGTGGATGCAATCTGCGAGCAAGAAAAAATGCGGCGTGTCCACTAAGAGCAGCGCCCATGACATGGCACACACAGCTACTGGCGCGAAATGAATTTTTCCCTTCCATACTGCTTTAAAACGTGTTATCGATTATGCAATTCCTCTTGGCAGCTCATTTCTTACGGACTCGCAGCCCCGGAAGTGTCTATTTTTCACATTCAAGGCGGGCTTTATGATCTGCTAGCAGCGTATCTACACTTTACGTGGTTCGTCAACTGCGTGCCACTCGCATAGTATGTCTCTTGTAAATTAAACGCACTTACACGAGAGTCTCACTTCACCGAGTCTGCACCTGAATGTTCAAGCGAAAATGTTATTTTTGGTTTCTTTCAAACTCAAGCTAGTGTTCAGAACAGCGCATTTAATGAGACATTAGAAACTGTCCGTAAAAAGGGATGTGGGACATGTGATTCATTGGTAGGCAGGTCCAGAATATTATGCAGGCAGAAAATTGACCCAAATTTTTTGCCGAGTAATTTTTTAACACCTACGAAATATGAATGGCTTTACAATAAGAAAAAAGTCACACTTTCGCCGCAAGGGTGAAGCAATGAATGCGATAGCAACAACTGGAATGTGACGCTGAGAAGGCTAGCAAATCAAAACGGGCAGCGTGTTGCTCATGTGCAAATGACGCACGAAAACAACACAAACAGGACGAGAGATAACAACGTTTCCAGCTCCACGCTTAACACGCTGTTTAAACAAAAACGACGCATGAAAATCAATCACAGGTACAGATATGAGTGCGAGCTAACGAGTGTTTCAGTTGTTACTTCGCTGTGGTAACAACTGAAAAGCGCGCTCTTTTCGAAAATGGGGCCTGCCCATCGAGCGAAGTGATCTTTGTGCGCCCGGCAAATAAACGCAATCTTTCAAGGTGAAAGGCCAAGGCACACGATTCTCCCTACCAATGGATAAGCGCGCGCGCACTAGCACCTAACCCCCCCCCCCCTCCCCATCCGCGGAGCAAAGTACGCGTGGAAGATAAGCACGCATTGGCGCATGGCGATGAGTAGGGTGCCGAGCGCGGGCGGCTTTTTGCTTTCTTGAGTTTTCATATATATAGATATAGGCATACATATACGGTGCATGACGGTGGCAGTGACGCCAAAAACCAGCCGAGACTGTCCATATAATTGCTATCGCAATAAAACAGACTTGATAAAAACTGAATAGCGCGCGATCGCTCCCTTCCTACTCATTCTTTCTCAACTATATGTTTTTTTGCGCAACCTCTATTGTTTAGGCCAATAGCAATATTTTTTAACTGTGTAAAAAAATCCACACGGTACGCTCATTAATTGATTGATATGTGGGGTTTAACGCCAAAAAACCACCATATGATTATGAGAGACGCTGTAGTGGAGGACTCCGAAAATTTAGACCACCTGGAGTTCTTTAACGTGCACCCAAATCTGAGCACACGGGCCTACAACCTTTCCGCCTCCATCGGAAATGCAGCCGGGATTCGATTCCGCGACGTGCAAGTCAGCAGCCGCGTACTTTAGCTGCTAGACCACCGCGGCGGGTTATAACCTCATTATTGTGAAGGCCGAGAGCAACGATGGTTAGAGTAAGATTTCTATATATTGAGGATAACACTGAGACAGAGCGTGCGTATTGTCTAATCAGAACGGGAACTTGCGCAGCTTTTTTATGGGAAGTGCAATAAGAAAACAAAAAGCAACAACGCAATGAAAAACTATAAATAACAGACAAAAAAAGCGAGTCTTTTCTTTGCTCGTATTTGTACACTGCACTGATCATTAAACACCAACTAAGCCACACAATGGACACCGTATAACACAAAACAATTAGTGTGCCATATGGTTGCAGCTCATGAGTCGTGCTGAATCAAGAACCTCCACAACATGCGGTCATGTGCAAGATCGATGCACTTACGTTTTAGTAATTCGCCTACACACCTAAATTATGTTTTGCACAAGTAATCTACCCCCATGCCAAGTACGAACAATCTATTGTCGCCTGACGCTTGAAATATGTTTAGAAAAAACTTCGGGCTCCCGCTGAAGCAATGGCGCCTTATAAGGGGTGGAGTTGCTCGGCGCAGGCACCGTGATCTGCGCCGGGCCCGGCCCGGCTCGTTAAACATTCAAGCGCAATTACGAGGCTCGTAGCGCTGGTGAATCAAGACCGCGCATTTTAATCCGGACCGGTGCTCCTTTGTCGCTTTCTTGCTCGGCCAGAATTCATTATGAAGCAGTTATGCTCGTTAAATTAACAACGGAGCGGCATCGTAGGAAGCACGACGCTGTCGGCGGAGGCGTATCCCGGACTCAACAAATGCTGCCAGACCGCCAGAGGCCAGGCTGCGCGAGCGGCGCAACAACAGGTTTCTCGGCACATTGCTTTTTTGCCAGCTTGGGTTTATGCTACCTCTTTGTTCTTCTCTTAAGGCTGACGCTATATTGTCTGCAGCGGCTGCTTCTGAGAGTGCCAAGGTACTTTTTTTAGGAAAGTCGAGTAAAAGCTAGACAAAAGTGGCTTGCATCAAGAGACGCAGCAAGGAGCAGCAACTCATTAAACGAATGCTGTTGGACGACGAGAGTGGATGGCGCAGGAACGCTGATTGTTCTTTAACAATCTGTTTCTTAGATTACACGGGAAAGAACAATCGATGTGGGTGGGACATACGTCACGGTAACTTGTATTATTTAAGAGAAGCGAATTCTCAGCCGCGGACCACAGAAATATGTACCGCTTGCGCAAGCGCATTAAATGTGAAATTTACGATGGTGCGCTTCTGTGCGCACCCTTACAAAAGATGCGCAGACGCAACCTCATGTGCTACATCTGTCATGCATAATAAGATTATATGCATCTCACTGAGCACGTACGAAGGCTTGAAGATAAGCATCAGCAGTACATTTTTTTAGATCACTCCTATCTAATGCCACATAACTTGTATCCAACGCACGCACAAGGCAATTTTACGTTCTTTCTTTTTTTAAAGCTGTATCGAAGTACCTGTAACAGTCGCCCGCTGCTTGTCTAGAGACTGGTAAGCCAACGCTTTTACCACCGCGCTTCACTCGTCCATGTGGAAGGTATTACTGGCATATAGCCGTTAGTCACCGATCTGTTGAATACTGTGACCTGCATGACCTTTTTCTGCTGCATGTTGTCCGGAGTCATTGGATCGGTGGTCACGAGTTTTTAATCTAGCCATGCCGTTTTGTGCTGAGAGCCTATTTTAGTTTTTTGTTCAGGTTTCACTCAATCACAAAGCTGTAAAAAGGTGTAGGACGATTGAGCGTGGCTACATTAACCATAAAGTTATTAATCTATTATTTTTGGCATGCACTCATGCGTTTGTTCTGTATACAGCTCCCGCTCGTTTAAGATGAACGCTACCATTACTTAAACATTTGGGCTAGGGACGGGCTCACTAAACAACTTTCCGCAAGTGATTTCTCAGTCAAAGGTATTATCGCATTTTGGTAGAGTACAAACATGGATGCTGTTCATTTTGCGGCGTCATATGACAACAAGCAGGAAGTGTAATATCAGATTAAATGAAATGAAATGAAAAACAAACCACGGTCACCTGATATGCCTGTAGCCCAATATTGATTGATTTGATTGATTGATTTGTGGGGTTTAACGTCCCAAAACCACCATATGATTATGAGAGACGCCGTAGTGGAGGGCTCCGGAAATTTTGACCACCTGGGGTTCTTTAACGTGCACCCAAATCTGAGTACACGGGCCTACAACTTTTCCGCCTCCATCGGAAATGCAGCCGCCACAGCTGGGATTTGATCCCGCGACCTGCGGGTCAGCAGCCGAGTACCTTAGCCACTAGACCACCGTGGCGGGGTGCCGGTAGCCCAATAGGACCCGTAGTTCAGGAGTCAGCCTAGATTGTTATTAAGAAAAATCACTGCTCTCCGCTTCAAGCTGCCTCTTCCAGGCATACTGCTGACGAGCCCGACGACAGTGACGATAATGATCATGATATCTTTCATACATGACTCATGCCCACTCTGGCTAAGAATTTGTCATATGTACATTGAACGAAGTACTTGAAATTTTCATAATGATCGATTAAAAGAATTACCATAAATAAAAACAATAAATGGAGAGCCGTCAAGAATTGCGCGTTTGTACAATCAGACTAGACTTCTCAAATGATAACCTTAACAGAACTTGAACTCACAATGCTGAAGTGTCAACCCCATCTACACTATCTTTTTCTCTACAACACCAGGTCAATGGAAATGTGAACGATTCCAAAACATGGCTCTCTGTGTTTAGGAACACTATAATGCCAGAAAAATAAAACATCATGCAAAGCCGTTTTTAGAAGAATTAGGATTTCAACTTCTCAAAAACACGATGCATATGAGGTGCGTCACTTAGCTCGAAAGAGCGTATAAAATTGGTACACCTAGGCTTCCAACGCGCACTCGGTTCACGGTACACAATGTTTTTATTCTTAAACGGGACCCCCTACAGCCACCGCAAGCCGTGAATTAAAGCCGTGGCTGGTGGAGAACCAAGGTAGGCTATAGGGAGCACTTTAATGTGGTACAAAAAAATTGTTGATGCATCGTAAGAACACCAGAAAGATGCGCCAGAAAGGGAGACAGATATTAGAGAAAAGCTATTCGTGACTCCAGCTAAACGCTCGCCACCTAGCGGTGGCGCGTGGAAACGATGATAATAGGGTCAAACTTGAAAGGAGCTATGTTACCACGTTGCGGGCGTTAAGAAGCGGCCGCACAGTTCCTTTATTTTCGGCATGCCGCACATTTGAGCTCGAAAAAAAAGCGACGTTCAAAGACCGTTGAAGTGTACCGCAATGCATGATGTCGTGATGGAAAGATGGCAACGTATTGCTCTATCACTTCCGGAAAGTTGCAGACGACGCGCGACGGAGAACGGCGCAAATCAGAAACTTACGCATTATAAAACAGGTGACGGGCACCACTGTGGTTTGTTCTAA